CTTCTATATGTATTCATTCAAATAGCCCCGAAGAAACAATTTTCCAACATAATCGTCAGAAAATAAACTCGTATAAAAGGTAATGGAATATTATCCAACAGAACGGACAGGTACCAATCGTTTCGTATGAGGTTTAAAAGATAGGGGAATTATTCCTCTAAGTCAGCGAACCCTATCTCTCTCTGAGCATGTAAATTTGTTGTCGAAAAAGTGGTTTTAGGTGGACCCCCGGAAAAAGGACATCTGGAATTTCCTTTTTTATTCTGGAACGCATTTATAGTTATTTTTATATGATTTTTTTTTTTCAAAAATAAGTCTTATCCAATTTGTTAACTTCCTTGGCCAAGGTGAATATATGTAAATGTGCGTATTATAAACTGATGCAATACATTTGTGTCTTTTTGTAAATAATAAAATCATTTTCTGCTTCTGCGGTATCTAACCAAAAATATGTTGCACTGTCAAATGAGCATATTTCTATATAGATAATGCAGTTATGTGACATGCAGCTGTTTTAAACGGTAATTAAATTGCTATTTTAAGTCTAAATCAAAGAAAAACGATATCAGATAAAATGAGTTGTTTGTGAATATCACTTTTATAAAGACAACAGAGATTGTCAAATAAGTTTAAGTAAATGTTGAAAATTGTCTATGTGTTCATCATTAATAGATAGTGCTATAACAACTACCGTTTATGAACAGGCTCAATCAAACCGGGCTTGCAACAGAATCAATTTCGCCGTGTCGGGCTTTCTATGGGGATTCTATTTTGTCTCTTTTTGATAATGTTTTGTTCCATTTTTCAATTAAATTTACATTGATTTCTAGATATATTTTCAAACAGTTCATATGTAAGCATTATAATATTTCAGAACTATCCTTTACATTTACTTTATAATGGCAAGAACTATCCTTTACATTTTATTTTAGGCAGACAAATGAGATTGCCATTTTTTTTTCAGTTTCTAATTTAAAATGACCAATAAAAATCATTTTTATATTCAGTTATTTTTAGATGGCATTCGGCTAAAAAGGTATCTAGATAACGGCATTCCTAATAAATCCGTAATCAGGTACATTTAAAAATTTTAAAATACTGATTCATCGACTGGATCTTATTTATAATTAGTATAATAATATAATTGGTTTTTTATCGTCTTATTGTGCATTTTTACATGTAAGTCCTTTTTAAAGTGTACGTTTAAAGCTGTATCTCTGCTTCAAAGATTGTTATTTGAATTTTGAACAAAAAAAATACTTCCACTTCGTTGCTCTGACTTTCTTAGAAAATGATTTCGATGTGTTTGCTAATACGTATTGTTGACAAAATCAAAAAGATCAATAAATGATAAGAAGATGTTTTAAAATAATGGAATATGATAAACAAAGTGAACAACACTCTGTTACGGTCATTTTAATGGTACTTTACCTTGTGTATTCCTCTTACTCAAACGGAACTCGTCTCGACCTCTACTGTATTAAATTAAATTAAATACTACGACAATTTCGTATATTCGAAAATGATGAGAAAACTATAATATTCCCTTGTATGATCGCTTCATATAAATAATACGTGTATATCTAATGATTCATGCTGCTATGTGTTGCATCCGAAACAGAAACATAGATTGTTATTTTTGCATGTCATTATTTGAATAGATTCCATGTTATTAGCATGGTGGCTGATGAAACAGATTACAGTTTTAATTTAGTGTTGATAATTATTCACAAAATCCCTAGGGCATGCTATCTAGTAAATAGCATTTATTGATATCTTTTTAAAGTAAAGTATCTGATGCAGACATATTCATCATAGAAAAAATAATATCTTTAAAACGTGATCACTCAAATCCCGACTCTTCACTCTAGACCTAGTGACAATCGAGGGTTAATGTACTTTAAGTAAGTGCATTAACATTGGCAAAAGCAGAGTCAGAGCCCGAAAGGAGAGGAATTTAATATTTGCAGATGTAAATGTACAATTTTCTTGTATAAAATATTTGTATTCCCACTTTTACATAGTCGTTTTTTCGTATAAAGAGAACGGTTTCGCCATGCTTCTGACGTTCTAGTGGGATGTAATATGACAGTAATGTTTTTATAATGAAACTACCACAGACCTTTTGCAGTTAGCTATTTTATAGTGCGCCCTGAGTGACGTAGATGGAAAAGGTCGCGTGGTCGTGTGATAGTATCCGTTGATGCAAGATTTGTTTTTGTTTTGTTAATGTATACATGCGTTCACAGTTTTAATGCGATAATATTTCTATTGTAAGAATTCTTTTTTTTTTTCAAATAGAATTATATTTATGTTTTGCCTTCCACTGTTTTCATGACTTTCGTATAATGATTTTATACGACAACACGCAATAACGTTGTTACACAGTAAGATTAATAGAATCTATCATTGGGGTAGATAGAGGATATGGAAATCCCAACCCGAGGGTGATCGGTTCCATCGGGAACGAGCCTTGCCTTGCCCGATTGCCCGAGGGTTGGGATTTCCCTATCCTCTATCTAACCCAATGATTGATTTTTTTCTCACTCACCTGGACACACAAGAAGTGAAACTACTTGCTACGCGCATTACAACGTACCCAGTTTTGAAAAGCGGGGCGTGGCTAAGACCTCTGAGTACGACCGCAAAAAATTCTACTGACCAAGTTTTGTGTGAAGAATTCAATGATAATAAATTCATAAAAGATCTCTCATCAAAAAGCAAGGTTATCATGATAAAACACATCAATATTAAAGTCGGAAAGTGTCATAGTATAAGTGTTTATAAGGAATTCAGCCATACTTTTATGGTTGACAAAAAGCGTTTACCGTCTCCTTATTCGGTTATTTTGGCCGAATATTCAATTAAAATATATCAAAATGAGATTCGTCATCAAGAAGCATCGTTATCATAACAGGAAACATGGATGTTCAGGCAAAGTGTCTTAATATCTGATTTTATGATGAATTTTGCGATATTTTAAAGTGTGCTATTTTTAGTAACATATCGATTTTGAAAAGGGCGGACCAAGGTAGAGTAGGACTCTTTGCAGTGTGAAAGTTAATATCAATCTATTTTGATTCCGTGGACAATTTAATTGATTAGCTCACATAGTTTTTATACATTTTGACCATTTGACGTTTCATTTTTGTTAAAATAAGAGTGAATCGCGTATGTGTAGGAATACGTTATTAGAAGTGCTGCACGTTAAGTGTGAGATAAGCCCATGTGAGATAAGATTTTCCAACACCGCTATTTAAGTAACATTTACGGATTTTTCTATCTGATTAGTGAGAAATATGCATGTACATTCTTCGATTATTAATAGTGGATATAGGCCTGATGTTAACCAATCTAAATTTGATTTAAAAAATTGCTTTAATATATCTATGCATCGAACAAAACAAATAGAGTAATTGCATTATGTAATTACTTACATTTTTATGTACGCGCTAAGGTGTCAGGCCTTAAGACGAGCAATCAGTCAAATTATGTCCTCGTCACTTTTTATTGTAACAGCTATGAGACCATTATAATACTTATCTCATTTTAACTGAAAAGGGGAAAAAGGGAAAGCTATTGTACACATTTAGGCGCCGGCGTAACACTTTGGTTCAGTTTTTGCGTGCATGTTGCTATCTCTGACAAGATTGAAGGAAATGAAGTAAAATTTCACATACTTATTTGAGAGTACAATAGAAAGTCACAGACCAATGCCTATAACTCTAGCATGGATTATGACAGAACTATGGCTCTTTTTGAACTTAGAAACTTAAACATTATCGAGGGTCTCGTTCTACTAAACAGGTACTAAGAATGGTTGTGCAAGCTTTCCTAAAGACAAATCTTGTTCTTAACTTATGTAATACATATTTGAATAAACGTTAAAAGGGTAACTTATTTCAAAACTATAAGAGAAAATATGTTTGTCTCTGTTTCTATAAACCTTTTTTTGCAGCATTTAAAAATAAATCTTAAAATGCAAATAATAAGCTAATCTCGAAAACTAATTGTAGTCCTGTATCTTGAAGTCTGTCATTTTACAGACCACACGCCTTTGTTGTTCTTAGTTTTGAATATTTTCAATTGAATGTTAAATATATAAATATAGTTCTACAACAATAAAACAATCATGAATGGCAGGTAACACACATTCAAAATAGCTTAATTATTAAGAAATTGAAAAATATTGCTTTGCAAGATTACATTGCAGATATTACGGACGAAAATAGACTCATGCCATGAAATGATAACGAGAAACATATAACACAATATAAACAGACAAAATTTGCACTCTTCGCAAAAACATTGCTTGAATAACATATACATTTCAATTCGTAACAATATAAAATTCATGCTAAACATAATCATTACTTTGTAAAGAAATGTGCATTGAAAAGTATTCAATCTGGCCTTCAGTGTTGTTATATCTTTCTGGCTCTTCATAGATTCCAGCACTTATAAGGGTTGAAAATTGCGTACCGCTCGAGCCTGTTTGTATGCGCGCGTGAGCGGTGTTGCACTTTTTCATCATCCCTCATGTACAGACACTATCAAACCTAGTCTGCAATTTTCATGTAATTTTGTTGTGATTATTTTGTTTTGCATTTATGTTCTATAGGCAACTTTTGTGTATAATGTTAAACAAAATCATAGTCTACGCAAACCCCATTCACGTACTGGATTGACGCCAGTTTTCTTTAAGGTTGTTTCAAAGAGCGATTGGTCAAGTTTAGATGCATGATCCCTTCCTAATTCCTTTGATCCACTCGAGTGTTTGTGTTTGTTTTCATTAGGCCATGACGTCAGACTTCTTTTTATGTACTGCCTGTCGTAGAATATTAAACTGACATACTGAATTTTTGTAAAAAAAAAAAATAACAACATTTTGAACATACAATTTCTAAAGAACTGTTTATGTGTTCATGCGAGAGGTTGAAACTTGTTGTAATTTCTTTATTTCATTACATATATTTTCAACAATTCAGCCATGTTAAAGACATAATAGCACTATTAAATTTACAAATTTTCATTACATTCCCATAACAATTACAAAAAATTACAAAAATTACACGTACTAAGGTAAACTGTGCGTATTCTGGCTCAATCACATTTTGATATCAACGTATAAGCAGATTAAATCATAATGATAAATGGAAATATTTCATTTTTGTGATTGCTTTCCAATGTGGTCATCAATTTTGCAATGTACTAAGTGTAGTATTATTTCTACTTGTTACGGTATGCACACGTATCAAGTGAGTCAAAATGACAGAATAGAAATTGATTCATTTTATTACGTTTCGTGTCTCCTCAACCTTTGAAATAAAATGACAGATGAAGAATTTAATGTAAATAAAATGTAATATGAAGCAGAGCAGAAGATTGTTTCGTCAAACACAGCACGAAAACGAATAACGTTTATTAATTGTTGAAATGAAATGGAATGGTATCATATTTATATTGGTTTACAATATTTTGAATATTCAATAACAATTTAGTTAAACATTTAATCTCACATAAAATAAGCTACTCTTATAATATTTTTACTTCTTAATATACACAATATTTGTAACCGCATAGTAGCCTGATACAAAGACGGCATGTAAAGAGTGTGACACTTACAAATATTAGCATTAGACCGCCTGCAATAGTACAAATCATTGCGGAAAACCCTGTATCATATTTGAATGATGCTTCCACATAAATAGTCGCTACGAGAACCAGTATGGCTGAAATAGAGTAACAGATAAATGTCATAAACGGTTTATAATTGGGGATAATGTAGGACATGACAAAATAGTATCATATCTGTTATTTTAACTGTTACTCTTAACCTGCTAATTTTGATCAATGTATTTGCCCAGCTTTGAAATTGGAACTATTCATTCAAAGTATAGGGGATTCAAAAATTATCAATATAACATAAAATACAAATAGGACAGTACAGTGTGATCTGGCTTTATACTAGTAGCAAAGATCTGTCATTTAGTGTCCGGAAGGTAGATGGGTTAAACGTGAGTAGCTTGATTCATATTTATCATCACGATAATAAACTACTGAAAAAAGCGTTTTGTATTATTAGGTCTGAGGCAGCAATTCTAAAAAAGAATTTGTCTATAATCGAAGGTCTGTAAATCAACTACGTGATCCGTTATAACCTATGCATGTACATGTATTTATATAGCAGATAATGAAATGATCTAAGAACAAAATGTTATTATTAAATATTTATGTTCATAAAAAAATCAGTTAGAAATTAATAAACATTTTGTAAGGCAATATTGTATCAGAATAATTATATTCAATTGATACATTTTTTTGCTTTTATCAGCACTTGAAAAACTCACGGATGATTTCACGGATCAATCCACTTAAGTAACCAAGTGCTATTTTTAGGTTTTTTTGCTATTTTTCAAGAAAGGTAACTCTGTCGGCCTTGTTTGATTTTAATCTTAACTTTTTGTGTGATTATGTCCCCTTGACCACATTTGCTATTTGCTCAACCATAAGGTTTCCCTCCTAAAGTTAGGGTCACTTGAGGTCATTCTTTGTGTTATAGAAGTTGTTGGTCATTGTGACATGTAGATGTGTTGATTTTACTTATTATAAAAGAATTATATTATTAATAAGGATTTGGATTGAGGAATTGGTATTTGTATGTTTTATATATTTGTTCTTAAAAGTTCTAATGTCAACTAAATGAAGACTTATAGTAATTAAATACAGTTGTGGATTTGATAAAAGTTATTTTGATAAATTTGTATTGTTCTTGAGTGTTAGAATTCAAGATGGCAGCATATGTTCTTATCTTATAGTTATTCCTAGAAATCACTGTTTCTATTTGTATTGCACTGATGTTTGTAAATTACAGTTTACAGCATAATTAACAACACAGTGAGACAGGTGTGAGTGACAGAGGTACATGTATACTTACAGAGTCTGATCCACAATTGGTATGTTATATTATATTTATATGTCATTGTTTATATATTTTTGGAGCTATATGTATATTTTTAAGTTGAGCATAATTGTATATTGTTTTATAAGTAAATGATTAAGTGGTCACTAGATGCAGGTACAATATGATGTAATACATTTAAAGATGTATTTTATGTGTACATGATTTATTTACATGAGATAAAATGAATGGTTTATCCCTATAGACTGATCTGTTGATAGAATATTAGATTAAGTATATTTAAGGTACTATAGTGTATACAAATGTATAAAACTATATATTTCATGATAGTATGGGATGTTTTGGTATTTATACTTTCAGGGCTTGGTAGATGTGATGTAACTGTGATGTAAATGTGATGTAAATGTGATGTGTATGATGTATGATGTATGACATATGATGTTTGATGTTGAGATGTACTGAATTGGAATTATATATAGCTAGTGTCCACTACAAATTAATACCCTCAGTTTTGTTCTTTACTTATACAAGGCAAAAAAGACATCGGGGTCACACTTACACGCACAAAATTAATGCATATTTCGTTATTTTAGATCTCACTTCTTAAATTTATCAATTATAAGCATATATCCTATGCAAAATTTAGTTAAATAGTCAAAATATGCTTTATCACATAAACCGCGGCACAGGAGTGTAATAAAGCCATTTAATAAAAACGATATTACATTAGTCTAGTGTAATTACATTTTGACGTGACGTCATTTGCGCTATATATTAATAGAATATTATATTCGTGTAGATTCAATACTAAATTTATTGAACTCGTTGAATAAAACAATATTATGCTCGTCAGAGGCTCGCATAATATGATTTTTATAACTCGTTCAATAAATTTAGTATTAAACTACACTCATTCAATATCCTCTATTTAATACTCATTATGTAATTGTTAAACTTACCAGCAACAGGATAGAAGACTCCAAATGAGATAGACAATAACGACATGTATAACGAATATTTGAACAAGTCAAATACAAACGCTGTGATAAGCAAGCTGGCATTGGTGAACACAACAACAAATGCAGTTGTCATCAGCTTAAAGGAGATGCCCAATATAGTAGCTGCAAAGAAATAATATCTTTATTCATCAATGTCAATATTAAAGCTGCATGCCTCCAGATGAGCTTAAATATTTCGAGAAAATTTAACTTGAGAAAAATGTACTAAAATTTTAAGAAAGTAAAAAGATTTAAGAGTTAAGTAATAATTTACATGTTATGTGTGATAAAGGGCTGCTTTTGCAGTATCTATCACCATATTTCTACTGCGTTACTAACGCAATAAGTGCTATTTTTTGCTTATTTTACCTCTTTTAGGTAATTTACATGGATTGCAAGTGTTGTTCGAAATGTGTTAATTATTTTCTTTGTTCACTTCACAATATTTCACGTTTAAATGTATTTTTAAAATTTTCAAGAAAATTGGCATGAATCTGCTGCTTTAATGAATATTTAATAGCTTGAAATCTTAGAAAAACATTCTTATCACTTTTCAAAATTTTAGTTTTTGTTTTATAAAAAGAAATCAATCACTATGTAAATAATACATTGAGTCACTAAGAATAATAAAATACGAAATTTAGATATTTTCTTCCAATGTTCAGGAGGATTTTTGTCAAACCATGCTTGCCGTCTGCTGCACAACTGTTTTTTTTTACTTATATCAACAAAAGAAAATCCTTTTACATACATGAAAGATATTACTGTCATTCACACAAGCAATTTGCATTGAACCCTTGCATATCAGGAAAAAAATCTAATAAACCACTTAATACATGTACTATAACACAACTTGCTACTAAGATCAAGTTTTCTAAATTGAAGTCTCAACGCTATGAAAAGTACATGATCCGTTTATTTTCATTTTTAGTGTGTTCAAACAGTATGTCTTTATTTTTTTTCTATAACTAAACAATGGCTAAACTAATAGACTAAAATCAATTTACTTTCTACTTGGGCAATAATCTGATGTTCAAAAATTTCACATTTGAAACATAACATGTTTTACTTCTTTACTGTACATGTATATTGATTTTTTCTATCATGTCACCACAATTATTTGAAATGAGTAGATTATATGCACATATTCATAAATTTTGAACTCCTTCAATTCAAAGCATGTCTCAAGTTAATGTAAACATTAGTAACTTACATGTGTTGTGTATATCATAACTCTTAAACCAGTTATAGATGTTGCCATCACAGCTATTCGTCACTACTCCTAAACTGTTGCAGGAATTGCCATAATGCCAGAAATTTGTCGTCACACCAGGTTTAGTTTTATCCCATTCATTGTCATAGGCACCGCTTTCCAAATTTATAAGTAACCAATTTGGTGTGAAATATCCAATAGTTAGCAGCCAAAAGCTTATAAAGTATATAATCGCAAACGACGAAACAACTCCAAATTTTTATATTTTTCGAAAACATATTTTCTTCCAGTGATCAATCGAAAAAAAAACAGTTTATTTATAAGTATTTTGTTTTTAAAAGTTGTGCTCAAGCTTTGATATCCTACCTTGAAAACATTTCAATTATTCCTTTAAATTTGTTCACGCAAATTTGCGAAATCAGCCTCTATTGTAATTCAATTAATTCTTTATATTTGCGTACTATCTTTTAAAAAATAAACTCACTCGTTTGAACAAAGTTAATATGGTTTATACACATATTCATAGCATTAAATTGCTATCAGTATTGATTTTTGTTTTTAAATTTAAGATAATCTTTGTTTACACAGTTTCTTCGTTTAATTCATATCACCACTTCACGACAACTGACACAGATAAGAAAGTAATTTAGTACTGTAGGTTTATACTTCTGTATGTAAAACCATCTAACTTTATGTCATTTATTTTCTTATGTAATAAAACAGGATACATTTGGAATATATAACAACTTGTGTATCAAAATAAACCTTATAAATTGGCTTTCAGTTAATGAGTGATAATAAATTAAGTAGAGATATTAAGCGAAAGTACGGAAGCGTCTGGTACATCAAGACAAATCGAGCCGATTGCAAATTGGTCTCATGCATAAACACTTTTGGATCTAAACGAAACAAAATATGTATACAGAATAATTTAACAAAGTGTCGTGTTTAAATCTTGTAATTTACTTTATACATACATACAATCATTGTTTGCAATGTTGGTCAAGACATATTAAGTCAATTGTAAATCAGAACCATAATTAAATGAATGGGCTCACTCACACCGATAAAACATTTATCTTATTTGGCGTAATATACTGTTTATCTGTTTGAACAATAAAGTGGACACAACGTCAGTTTTTTTTGTTTTTCTTTCTTGTTCAAACATTGTGCTTATTCCTCTGCAGTAACATTATTAATCTCTTCGATAATACAACAACGAGTTTCATATTTCTATTTTACCACCTATGTCAAATTTGTACCCGGTTGTTTGTTATCTACTTTATATTAATAGCTTCCATTAGGCTTCCATTATGGCTGTGTTTAAGTCAGTTTTGGTAGGGTAGTTGGGGATTCCTGCAAAAAGCCAAACAATGTTCCCTCGTGGATGTATTGAAAATAGTTAATAACATGTTTGGAAAATATATATCTTGTTATATATCCGTCACATTTATTTTCCTGAAAAAATTTTTTCTGCTTTTAGAGGAAAATGAAAAATTCCAATTTGCCAACTTAGTTGTTATTTTAATATTCGGGGGCCAAAAGGGACCCTTGTGGTTTTTAAAATTTTTCGTGGGCCCCCGAGATATATTTTCGTTTTCCAAAAGTTACTAAAATTTGTGGCCCAAAATAGCTAAGTCGCGGGCCGAATACTATGTCTTGGCCAGTTTTTTGAAGTCTTTGGCCCCGGGGGATAGGTTAAGTCTGACCACGGGGAAACATTCGTGGCCACAGAACTATGTGTGGCCACGATAACTATTGTTGGCCACGAATTTACTTAAGTCGTGGGCCAACGAAAGGCTAAGTTTGTGGCCACGGAGTTACTATATCGTGGCCATGAGCTACTAAGTCGTGGCCACGAGATAGCTAAGTAGTGGCAACGAGATACTTTGTCGTGGCCACGAGATACTATGTCGTGGTCACGAGATACTATGTCTTAACCACGAGAAACTATGTCGTGGCTACATGTTACTAAATCGTGGCCACGATATAGCTAAGTCGTGGTCACGATATACTATGGCGTGGCCACGAGTTACTAAGTCGTAGCCACGAGATAAATAACCAATCAGAAAGCACAATTTATATGAATTTCCCTTATTAACTAGACATGTGCTACAGTAAAAGTATGTCCCTACTTCACCAGCCTGTAAAATAGCCATTTATACAACTTATTGATTGGTCAATAATTTTACATTTAGTGTCACTATGACCCTGATTTTTTTCCAAATGACGCGAGATACTATGTCGTGGCCACGAGTTACTAAGTCGTGGCCACGAGATAGCTAAGTCGTGACCACGAGATACTATGTCGTGGCCACGAATTACTAAGTCGTGGCCACGAGATAGCTAAGTTGTGACCACGAGTTAATGTCTCGTGGCCACGAGTTACTATATCGTGGCCATGAGCTACTAAGTCGTGGCCACGAGATAGCTAAGTCGTGGCCACGAGTTACTATGTCGTGGCCACGAGTTACTAAGTCGTGGCCACGAGATAGCTAAGTAGTGGCCACGAGATACTTTGTCGTGGCCACGAGATACTATGTCGTGGCCACGAGATACTATGTCGTGGCCACGAGAAACTATGTCGTGGCTACGAGTTACTAAATCGTGGCCACGATATAGCTAAGTCGTGCCACGAGGGATACTTGGCGTGGCCACGAGTTACTAAGTCGTAGCCACCGAGATAAATAACCAATCAGAAAGCACAATTTATATGAAAATTTCCCCTATTAACTAGACATGGTGCTTAACAGTAAAAAGTTAATGTCCCTACTTCACCAGCCCTGTAAAATAGCCATTTATACAACTTTATTGATTGGTCAATAATTTTACATTTAGAACCGTCACTATGACCCTGATTTTTTCCCAATGAAACCTCAAAATTATAATGTCATTCTACTGTCAGGTGCAATGATCTTCTATTGGTTATATAAACCCATGGCTTTATCCCTTCATAAATTTATTTCATCAGACAAGGATTTACCTTATGGCTATCTACTAGTCCACGGGCAATGTCCCTTCCAAATAAAATAAACCCAGACTAATTCCTTCTCAATGATAATCGTATAAACAAGGTTTAACTAGGCCGTAAGTACGTACAAACGACAACAATTCGTGCAAAATTGTCCCAACAAAGCTATTATTGTCAAAATAAATGTCTGATGGGCCCTTGGAAAGTAGTTTTTTCTTATGTCCAAAAGAAAAAATTTCAATTTTTTTTCAAAGTTTAAAAGTAAGTTATTAAAGTTTAAAAAGTCATAAAAATTAATAGTGTATTCTGAATTTGGTTAATTTAATCCGTGGCCAAATCGAATTAGGCTATTCGTGCCTCACGACTTAGTAAAACGTCCCGGGCCCCCCAACGCAAAACCCGAATAGGCCACGAGATCAATTTTAAACATACACACATGCAACCTTTGTGCCACCGCCTATTAGAATTATCCAACTTACCAACTGTCTTCCAAATTAACGATCGTCAATAAAACAAGAGGACAAATATGAAATGATTAAAGTTCAATTCTCTTTCTTTTTCTTGTCTGCTTGTGCACCTTATTCTAAACCTCTGCTATCAGTGCCGACCAAGATAAACCTTGCCGTCTGATCATGAATTTACACTGTTCGCTATTACGTCATTACTTGAATTAAACATAATTATTTCCCTGTAAAATGGTGAATGATTTTGTTCAGAAAATGTCCATTGATTTCAATATATCTAGCGTGTTGAGGGTTAATAGTTAGCCTGCCCTAGAAAATACTGAACAGGCTTATCATATTTCTATATAAATACATTTAATACAACATGAAAATACCGCCGTCTTCTTTTTCATCGAGTTTGTGTTGTCTGTATACATTGTTTATTGTTTCTCGCAGAAGTCTGCGTTGATGTTAGATGACAATCTTTATTTCCAAAACCATAGCTTTAAACATGTTTCTTAATTTCTTTCCCGTTGCACAATATAGAAAGAAGTTTGTACGAGTGATTCGTGTACATCACATTTCAGCTATTGTTTGAATAAGTATTCGTATGGAAAGTCATGGTAATTGTAGATATGGTCACAGCTTGAAGCATATATTAACACGATCACCATAGGAAGAGATGTTATTAAAACACAAAAGTAACACTTAGTAGCATTACAGTAATTTTCCTATTATTTCTTTCATCGTCTACTGTTCTTAATTCTTGCTCAATAAATGAAGAAGTAGGCGAGTGAAAAATTAATTTATTTCTTTTGTGCTTGGCGGCAATAATATTGTAAATAATTACACAGTTCAATACCAGAATAGTTGAGAAGGGAGTAAAGGCATATATGCATGCGTCAACCCAAGGCCAGATGGTTTCAACTAGATATACGTGTTTTGGGTCTGCTTCACATATCGCAATGATAGTACCATTGAATGAAAGCTGCTTCAATTGCACAGACCAAAGAAAATGAATATTTATCAAGATAAAGATTAATATTGTAATAACAATGCATAAACTTGCATTTCGTGCAGTGCAGAGGTGCGGAGCTTTTAGAGGAAATAAGACGACTAATGTTCGTTCAACAGTAACAATAACTAGTAACCACACAGAAACGTCACTACTGAAATATCCAATGAACTTCACAAGTTTACACATAATGTCGTTTATTTCTTCTATGTTTTTCATAAATTGTCCGAGCCAAAGACGCAGTAACCCCACATAAATGACTAGTAAATCCATTACTGCTAAAACACTTAAATAACATAGTGTCGATGTTCTTTTACATTGTTTCATTAAGATATAAAAGATGAACATATTTCCAAGAGTTCCTACAAACACTAAAACGGTGGTACAATCAGAAGTATATATTTCTTTGCGATATAGGCGGGATATTGCTCTAAATTCTCGTCGTAAAAAGTAGCCGCCATTTTAGTCCCCCTTTTTAGTTTATTATCCGTATAATATGTGTGTACTTCAAAATATCAAAATATATCTCTATAATAAAATTGTCAGTCTTCATAAATGTAAAAATGGAAAGATATGTTTAAAAGAAAACTGCGAACCATATGTATACTAAGAGGTATCATATTGCAAAAAGCTAGAGGTTAATGATTTTTATATCTCTAAGTGGATATCAAATCTATGATTAAATTGCCTAGAACAAAAGCATATGTCACAATAATTGCTTTTTTCATGTGTTTTTTTTATACTATTGTCGAACGTTTGAACCCATCTTTCATTATAAGGCTAGAGGGATACTTTTATAAAATCATATTCTATATTTGTGACAGAAGTTTAATAACAACGAAACATGAATTTTACAATTTTAAAAATACCGTGTGATTTTCCTCTTGTTAATTATTTCATTTCATTTGATTAGAGTCTAAAAAGCGCGGGAAGAGATTCGATGATCTAGCGAAACATCGCATGGCTGTTCGATTTGGGGTGTCTGGTTTCAGTCGGGGATTAAAGAACGTTATATGGGTAATAAGTCAACCGACTTATCACAAACGGCTACCATCGCATTGGCACTATTCCGAGCATTAAGAACGTGAAGTATTTGACGTAGAGAAAGTGGTCTGTGACGATGTTTACATCTTGTGAGTAAAATATTTTATAATGAAAATACGTGTATTCATCATAGCTTAATAGATTTTTGTAATTATGTTTGTTAGATATACATGTATATGATTCCGCTAAACGGATATCGATAAAATCATTTATCCAATGAAGGCTACTTTAACAAAGAATTCGAGCAACCAAAGAAACATATAAGATTTACAATATTAGATTATGTGTATAACGATATTGGTTAATCTTTTACACTCTGTCTTCATCGTGTTTAAAGGGAAGTCACTCTACAGTTGAAAATAATGGACTATTGATGAGTTATTTATCTTTAATTTCCAGAAAATGTTACTTTGTCAAAGGTTTGTCAAAACAAAAGCATTGCAATTGAAATTTTTTAGCATTAAGGTATTGTCAGAAAAGTTAAAATACCATATTGTTTCATATTGGTAATCACACAACACAATAACTCCACATTATGTTTAAATAGAGCAATATTAGACCTTGAAATAAAAAAATTCTCATTCTAAAGTCCATGTCCAATTTCATTAAAGGTATTTTATACAAATTATAAGAGACTACCGTATCATCAAATTCAATTTAAACATGAATTGTTTTGAAATCTACGTTCCACTATGCATTAGCAAATAATGAAATTAACCAATATATACTACGAAGAAAAAAAAGAATGCAAACGTCAATTCCCTAGTTTTGTCAACAGACTTTAAATAATATATAGCCAACATTCTTATATCCCGTACTTTGGTGTTCTTGTCTCACAGCAAACGATAATTAAGCATATACCAATGGCTCCCTGACGCCGTTTATCTGCTTAATTGTCCATTCATTGGTTGTATATCAGAGACATTATGTTAAACAGAAGACATTTCGGTATCTGATCATTATTCCTATTGTTGTTCTTTCTCTACACATTTTTATCTTCTCTTTTTATCATAGTCTACGCAAACCCCATTCACGTACTGGATTGACGCCAGTTTTCTTTAAGGTTGTTTCAAAGAGCGATTGGTCAAGTTTAGATGCATGATCCCTTCCTAATTCCTTTGATCCGCTCGAGTGTTTGTGTTTGTTTTCATTAGGCCATGACGTCAGACTTCTTTTTATGTATTGCCTGTCGTAGAATATTAAACTGACATACTGAAATTATGTAAAATAATAAATTATACAATTTCTAAAGAACTGTTCATGTGTTCATGCGAGAGGTTGAAACTTGCTGTAATTTCTTTATATCATTACATATATTTACAACAATTCAGCCATGTTAAAGACATATTAGCACTATTAAATTTACAAATTTCCAGTAAATTCCCATAACAATTACAAAAATTACACGCACAAAGGTAAACTGTGCGTATTCAGGCTCAACAACATTTTGATGTCAACATATAATAAGATTTAAATCACAATGACAAATGGAAATAATTTAATTTTGGAATTGCTTTCCAATGTGGCCATCAGGTGTGCAATATACTAAGTTTAGTCTTATTTCTTTTTGAATGTAATGGTATCAACACTTATCTCAAAATAACTGTATAAAAACTGATTTATTTCAATACGTGTTTACATTGATTAACATTGATGAAAAGATTCATGTAAATTAAACGTAATGTCTGGATGTATTTTGGAAATTGTGTTTCTTCAAATGCTGCACCGGAAACGAATAAAGTTTATCTATAATTGTTGAAATGAAACAGAATCATTTATATTATATAATATTATTTCAAAATACATTGTATTTGGAATATTCAATAACAATTAAGTTAACTCATTATAATTATCTACTCTTATATTAATCTCAATTTCTTAATGTACACGCTATTTGTAACTATATAGTAGATTGATATATAGATTGCATGTATATACAGTGACACTTACAAATATTAACATTAGACCGCCTGCAATAGTACAAATCATTGCGGAAAACCCTGTATCATATTTGAATGATGCTTCCACGTAAATAGTCGCTACGAGAACAAGTATGGCTGCAACAGAGAAACAGATAAATGTCATAAACGGTTTATAATGGGAAAAATGTTGGAAAAATAATATCATATATGTTAATTTACATTTACCTTTAAGCTTCTGATTCTGTGTAATGGAGTTAATGGAGTTGCCCTGCTTTGAAATTGGAACTATTCATTCAAAGTATAGGGGATTCCAAAATTATTTATACAAAATTAAATACAAATAAGACAGTGCAGAGTGATCGGGCTTTATACTAGTAATTGTTGGTCCGGCAAGTAGATAGGTTAAATGTGGGTAGCTTGGTTTATATCTTGCATCACGATAATTAGCTACTGATAAAAAAACGTTTTGTATTATTAAGTCTGAGGCATAATTCTAAAAATGAATAATTTTCTATATTATTGAAGGTCTTTAAAACAATATATTATTATATTTATAGTAGTTTGTATCAAATATAACACTGAACTACAACAGCAATTGAATATGTATGTTGTTGGCAGGCAGATGTTAACTACATGATCCGTTATAACTTATGCATGTTTTTATATAACAGATAATGAAATGATCTAAGAACAAAATGTTATTATTAAATATTTATGTTCATAAAAAAATCAGTTAGAAATTAATAAACATTTTGTAAGGCAATATTGTATAAGAATATCCAATTGATACATTTCTTTGCTTTTATCAGCACTTGAAAAACTCACGGATGATATCACGGATCAATCCACCTAAACGCACAAAATTAATGCATATTTCGTTATTTTAGATCTCTCTACTTAAATTTATCAATTATAAGCATATATCCTATGCAAAATTTATTTAAATTTTATCACATAAACCGCAGCGCAGGAGTTTAATAAAGCCATTTAATAAAAACGTTATTACATTAGTCTAGTGTAATAACACTTTGACGTGACGGCATTTGCGCTATATATTAAAAGTATACCAGTATGTTATTTTGGTTTTGGAGTGATATATGTGGATATATTACCTGTCAAGATTTTATATCACCCGAGCCGTTAGGCGAGAGTGATATTTTATCTTGGCAGGTTCATGTAATATATCCACATATATCACTCCAAAACCAAAATAATAATTTTATTACCCTTCCCCTGTCGAGTTAAGACGATTTTGATATAAATCATTGCTACTTCTTATGACACGTCGAAATAAGATTCACTTTAGATACCCCTTCACCACAACATGACGTCACATAAATACATGACGTATGTTCTTTCGAACCTAACGAATGTAAACAAGAGAAAAGGAGTAGTCTGTTGAACGCACTTTTTTGGAATAAATATCAAGCTTTCACAAGGTCATATTTGTTTTCAATACTGATGAGAATATGTTTCATTACTCTAATTTGGTAAATATTAATCATTTGACAGTTAAAAAGTGCTTGTAAATCGGAATTTACATCGCGTAAAATCAAACCGTACGCGCATCGCCACATCGCATGTTGTTTACAAAGTGGGGTACCTAACGGGGAAATTTAGTGTGTATAGTACCCGTCTGGCTCAATTTCTTTCGGGTGACCAATATCTAATCAAAAAGGAGGACAAAATCTGGAAGGGTAATAGAATATTATATTCGTGTAGATTCAATACTAAATTTATTGAACTCGTTGAATAAAACAATATTATGCTCCTCAGAGGCTCGCATAATATGATTTTATTCAACTCGTTCAATAAATTAAGTATTAAGCTACACTCATTCAATAACCTCTATTTAATACTCATTATGTAATTGTTAAACTTACCAGCAACAGGATAGAAGACTCCAAATGAGATAGACAATAACGACATGTATAACGAATATTTGAACAAGTCAAAAACAAACGCTGTGATAAGCAAGCTGGCATTGGTGAACACAACAACAAATGCAGTCGTCATCAGCTTAAAGGAGATTCCTAATATAGTAGCTGCAAAGAAATAATATCTTTATTCATCAATGTCAATGTTAATAAATATTTAATAGCTTAAAATCTTAGAAAAACATTCTTATCACTTTTCAGTTTGGGTTTTTGTTTTATAAAAAGAAATCTATCAATATGTAAATAATACATTGAGTGACTAAGAATAATAAAATACGAAATTTAGATATTTACGTCCAATGTTCAGCAGGATTTTTGTCAACCCATGCTTGCCGTCTGCTGCACAAATAGTTCTTTTTTATTTACATCAACATGAGTTATCAAAAGAAAATCCTTTTACATACATGCGCCTTGTGAAGAAAGATATTACTGTCATTCACACAAGCAATTCGCATTGAACTCTTGCATATCAGAAAAAAATCATCTAATAAACCACTTAATACATGTACTATAACACAACTTGCTACTGAGGTCAAATTTTCTAAATTGAAGTTTCAACTCTATGATAAGTACATGATCCGTTTATTTTCATTTTAGTGTGTTAAAACAGTATGTCTTTATTTTTTTCTATAACTAAACAATGGCTTAACTAATAGACTAAAATGAATTTACTTTCTACTTGGACAATAATCTGATGTTCAAACATTTCACATTTGAAACATAACATGTTTTACTTCTTTACTGTACATGTATATTGATTATTTCTATTATGTCACCACAATTATTTGAAATGAGTAGATTATATGCACAGATTCATAAATTTTGAACTCCTTCAATTCAAAGCATGTCTCAAATCAATGTAAACATTAGTAACTTACATGTGTTGTGTATATCATAATTCTTAAACCAGTTATAGATGTTGCCATCACAGCTATACGTCACTACTCCTAAACTGTTGCAGGAATTGCCATAATGCCAGAACTTTGGCGTCACACCAGGTTTAGTTTTGTCCCATTCATTGTTATAGGCACCGCTTTTCAAATTTATAAGTAACCAATTTGGTGTGAAATATCCAATAGTTAGCAGCCAAAAGCTTATAAAGTATATAATCGCAAACGACGAAACAACTCCAAATTTGATATTTTTCGAAACATATTGTCTTTTCAGCCCAGAAGATGGTTATCAGTAGTCCGAAAAATCAGTAAATGTAATGGTATATGTTTTTTTTTTTAAAGTTATGCTTAAGCTTTAATATCCTACCTTGAAAACATTTCAATTTTTCCTTTAAATTATTCACGCAAATTAGCAAAATCAGCCTCTATTCTAATTCAGTTCATTCTTGTTTAGTTGTGTATTATCTTTTGAAAATAAACTCACTCGTTTAAACAGTGTTAAAATGGTTTATACACATAATCATAGCATTAAATTGCTATCAGTATTGATTTTTGTTTTTAAATTTAAGATAATCTTTGTTTGCACAGTTTCTTCGTTTAATTCATATCACCACTTCACGACAACTGACACAGATAAGAAAGTAATTTAGTACTGTAGGTTTATACTTCTGTATGTAAAACCATCTAACTTTATGTCATTTATTTCTTATGTAATAAAACAGGATACATTTGGAATATATAACAACTTGTGTATCAAAATAAACCTTATAAATTGGCTTTCAGTTAATGAGTGATAATAAATTAAGTAGAGATATTAAGCGAAAGTACGGAAGCGTCTGGTACATCAAGACAAATCGAGCCGATTGCAAATTGGTCTCATGCATAAACACTTTTGGATCTAAACGAAACAAAATATGTATACAGAATAATTTAACTAAGTTTTGTGTTTAAATCTTGTAATTAACTTTATACATGCATACAATCATTGTTTGCAGTGTTGGTCAAGACATATTAAGTCAATTGTAAATCAGAACCATAATTGAATGAATTGGCTCACTCACACCGATAAAACATTTATCTATTTGGCGTAATATACTGTTTATCTGTTTGAACAATAAAGTGGACAAACGTCAGTTGTTTTTTGTTTTTCTCTCTTTTTCAAACACTGTGCTTATTCCTCTGCAGTACATTATTAATCTGTTCGATAATACAACAAACAAGTTTCATATTTCTATTTACCACCTATGTCAAATCTGTACCCGGTTGTTTGGTGATCTACTTACTATTAATAGCTTCCATTAGGCTTCCATTATGGCTGTGTTTAAGTCAGTTTTGGTAGGTAGTTGGGGATTCATGCAAAAAGCCAACAGCGTTCCCTCGTGGATGTATGGAAAATAGTTAATTACAAGTTTTGGAAAAAATATATCTTGTTATATATCCTTCACATTTATTTCGTGAAAATTATTTCTGCTTTGGAGGAATACATGAAAAGTTCGAATAGCCAACTAAGTTGGTTATTTGAATATTAAGGTGGCACAAAGGTGACATGTGTGTGTTTATATTTATCTCGTGGCCACGAGATACTATGTCGTGGCCACGAATTACTAAGTCGTGGCCACGAGATAGCTAAGTCGTGACCACGAGATACTATGTCGTGGCCACGAGTTACTATGTCGTGGCCACGAATTACTAAGTCGTGGCCACGAGATAGCTAAGTCGTGACCACGAGTTACTGTCTCGTGGCCACGAGTTACTTTATCGTGACCATGAGATAGCTTAGTCGTGGCCACGAGTTACTATGTCGTGGCCACGAGTTACTAAGTCGTGGCCACGAGATAGCTAAGTAGTGACCACGAGATACTATGTTGTGGCCACGAGATACTATGTCTTGGCCACGAGTTACTAAGTCGTGGCAACGAACTATGTCGTGGCTACGAGTTACTAAATCGTGGTCACGATATAGCTAAGTCGTGGCCACGAGATACTATGGCGTGGCCACGACTTACTAAGTCGTAGCCACGAGATAAATAACCAATCAGAAAGCACCATTTATATGAATTTCCCTTATTAACTAGACATGTGCTACAGTAAAAGTATGTCCCTACTTCACCAGTCTGTAAAATAGCCATTCATACAACTTATTGATTGGTCAATAATATTACATTTAGCGTCACTATGACCCTGATTTGTTTTCCCAATGACCTCAAAATTATTAGATGTCATCTATTGATCAGGTGCAATGATCTTCTATGGTTATATAAACCATGGCTTATCCCTTCTAAATTATTCATCAGACAAGGATTTACCTTATAGGCTATCTACTGTCCACGGGCAATGTCCCTTCCAAATAAAATAAACCAGGACTAATTCCTTCTCATGATATCGTATAAACAAGGTTAACAGGCCGTAGTACGTACAAACTGACCAATTCGATGACAAAATTGTCCCAACAAAGAGCTATAGTCAAAATAAATGTCTGATGGGCCTTGGAAGTAGTTTTTCTAATATGATCCTAAAGACAAATCTTCATTATTTTCAAAGTAAAAGTAAGTTATAAAGTTTAAAAAATCATAATATATATAGTGTATTCTGATTGGTTAATAATCTCGTGGCCATAAATTAGCTATCTCGTGACCGCGACTTAGTAACTCGTAGCCACGACATAGGCCACGAGATCAATTTAAAAACACACATGTCACCTTTGTGCCACCGTAGAATATCCAACTACCAACTGTCTTCCAAATTAACGATCGTCAATAAACAAGAGGTACAAATATGAAATGATTAAAGTCATTCTCTTTCTTTTTCTTCTTTTCTTTTTTTTTATGCACACTATCTGAAAATCAGTGCTTTATTCCTATGCAGAACGATAACATTAAACAATGAATAGACTAAAACATGTATGTATGCACTTTATATTAAACAGAAAAACAAACAAAATCCTACAAATATATTAAATTAAAGGCCAACATAAGAAACAAATTCAGTATAATAAAATGGTCTACTTTAAATTAAATCCCAATCGTATGATTTTAAGGCAATTTACACGTGTGGCATATTTTCAATAATTAATTAGACAGGCATGTCTGCATTTTATAACAGTGGTATTCACCTCTATGACATTTTTAAACCCCTTGTCTGCTTGTGGCATCTTATTCTACCTCTGCTACCAGTGCCGACCAAGATAAACCTGCCGTCTGATCATGAATTTACACTGTTCGCTATTACGTCATTACTTGAATTAAACATAATTATTTCCCTGTAAAATGGTGAATGATTTTGTTCAGAAATGTCCATTGATTTCAATATATCTAGCGTGTTGAGGGTTAATAGTTAGCCTTGCCCTAGAAAATACTGAACAGGCTTATCATATTTCTATATAAATACATTAATACAACATGAAATACCGTCGTCTTCTTTTTCATCGAGTTTGTGTTGTCTGTATACATTGTCTATTGTTTCTCGCAGAAGTCTGCGTTGATGTTAGATGACAATCTTTATTTCCACAAACCATAGCTTTAAACATGTTTCTAAATTTCTTTCCCGTTGCACAATATAGAAAGAAGTTTGTACAGTGATTCGTGTACATCAACATTTCAGCTATTGTTTGAATAAGTATTCGTATGGAAAGGTCATGGTAATTGTAGATATGGTCAAAGCTTGAAGCATATATTAACACGATCACCATAGGAAGAGATGTTATTAAAAACACAAAAGTAACACTTAGTAGCATTACAGTAATTTTCCTATTATTTCTTTCATCGTCTACTGTTCTTAATTCTTGCTCAATAAATGAAGAAGTAGGCGAGTGAAAAATTAATTTATTTCTTTTGTGCTTAGCGGCAATAATAATGTAAATAATTACACAGTTCAATACCAGAATAGTTGAGAAGGGAGTAAAGGCATATATGCATGCGTCAACCCAAGGCCAGATGGTTTCAACTAGATATACGTGTTTTGGGTCTGCTTCACATATCGCAATGATAGTACCATTGAATGAAAGCTGCTTCAATTGCACAGACCAAAGAAAATGACAATTTATCAAGATAAATAGAATTACTGTAATCATAATGTATACACGTGCATTTCGTGCAGTGCAGAGGTTCAGAGCTTTGAGCGGAAAAAAGACGACTAATGTTCGTTCAACAGTTACAATAACTAGTAACCACACAGAAACGTCACTACTGAAATATCCAACGAACTTCACAAATTTACACATAATGTCGTTTATTTCTTCTATGTTTTTCATAAATTGTCCGAGCCAAAGACGCAGTAACCCGACATAAATGACAAGTAAATCCATTATTGCTAAAACACTTAAATAACATAGTGTCGATGTTCTTTTACATTGTTTCATTAAGATAATAAAAGAGAACATATTTCCAAGAGTTCCTACAAACACTAAAACGGGTGGTACAATCAGAAGTATATATTTCTTTGCGATATAGGCGGGATATTGCTCTAAATTCTCGTCGTAAAAAGTAGCCGCCATTTTAGTCCCCCCTTTTTAGTTTATTATCCGTATAATATGTGTGTACTTCAAAATATCAAAATATATCTCTATAATAAAATTGTCAGTCTTCATAAATGTAAAAATGGAAAGATATGTTTAAAAGAAAACTGCGAACCATATGTATACTAAGAGGTATCATATTGCAAAAAGCTAGAGGTTAATGATTTTTATATCTCTAAGTGGATATCAAATCTATGATTAAATTGCCTAGAACAAAAGCATATGTCACAATAATTGCTTTTTTCATGTGTTTTTTTAAACTGTTGTCGAACGTTTGAACCCATCTTTCATTATAAGGCTAGAGGGATACTTTTAAAATCATATTCTATATTTGTGACAGAAGTTTAATAACAACGAAACATGAATTTTACAATTTAAAAAAATACCGTGTGATTTTCCTGTTGTTAATTATTTTATTTCATTTGATTAGAGTCTAAAAAGCGCGGGAAGAGATTCGATGATCTAGCGAAACATCGCATGGCTGTTCGATTTGGGGTGTCTGGTTTCACTCGGGGATTAAAGAACGTTATATGGGTAATAAGTCAACCGACATATCACAAACGGCTTCCATCGCATTGGCACTATTCCGAGCATTAAGAACGTGAAGTATTTGACGTAGAGAAAGTGGTCTGTGACGATGTTTACATCTTGTGAGTAAAATATTTTATAATGAAAATACGTGTATTCATCATAGCTTAATAGATTTTTGTAATTATGTTTGTTAGATATACATGTATATGATTCCGCTAGCAAAATTTAGTTTATAGCTGCGTGTCTCCAGATGAGCCAAATATTTTAAAGAAAATCAAACCTGGGAAAAATATTTTAAGAAAAACGATTCAAGATTCAAGTTCTAGTTAACATGTCACATGTTACATGCAATTAACGACTGATTTTGCAGTATTCATCACCTTATTTTTTTTTGCGTTACTAACGCAGTAAGGGCTATTTTCTGCCTAATATTTTGTTATCTTTTTTTGTCACTTGCATGGATTGTAAGTGCCGATTG